GATCTAAACGAGAGTGTACATTATATGTTGGTACATAGGCAATACATTAGTGTTTAAGACTCTTTAGTAGTTTTTGCATCAACACCCAATTGACTTACATATGCAAAATACCATACTCTGAGACAAAGAGTCGTAAACTTTCCCTCCAAAAGTTCAAGACACCATTGGTTCTTTGAAATCCCAGAGGAGTGACCTCGATAGAAGATAAAGGCCTCACATCAGTGACCCGCCTGCAGTCTGCGGTTCTGTTAGATTCTGAGAAGATGGGGATGCTGAGCTAGTCTTCTAAGGACACCCTAAGTTCGTGCCAGGCCTCGGCCTTGACTTTCCATTCACCAAAGATACTAGGATCTCGGCTGATGTCCCTCTTAGCTCTTTTTCACTTTCCACTGGGAAGAAACTCCCAATCACCATCGAGTCAGAACATCTTTGGAATTCATCACTCTTCAAACCCGGAAGAAGGTTATCGCAAGTCCAAAACCTTGAAACCATCAAGACTTTCATCCGGACACTCATCAATGACCAAAGCAATGCAAGTATCGTACATTTAAAGGGGTCATATGATGCATTATTTTGTGTGTTTGGTGTAATGGAATGTGTTTATGCGGTTTAAGGTTCAAAAAACACATTTTCCACATACTGTACATTATTGTTTCTCCTCTATGCCCCGCCTTTCTGAAACGTGTCAATTTTTACAAAGCTCATCGGTCTGAAAAGCGAGGTGTGCTGTGATTGGCCAGCTATCCAGTGTGTTGTGATTGGCCGAATACCTCAAGTGTGTGACAGAAATGTTACACCCCTCACCATACTGTGCTGCCCTGTCCGGCCAGAGCGACGAGACAAAAACATTAAAACCCATTATAAACGAGGCATTCGTTGCATCCAGTGGAGACATAATTACTGATTATAATGACTTATACTGTCTTTTTACGTGTTGCATTGCATCGCGCCGCGTAAACATAAAACCATGTCTGCATTTGTGATCGGAGAAATGACAAACGACCGTAGAGCGTCGTCGAGAGACAACCGGAATGGTTTGGAAACACATGATAGAGGTGGGAAAGAGAGGACAGAAAAGGAGAGTGTGTACAGGGAAGAGCAAAAATATACTTAAGTGCCTGGGCGATTTCGTTGCTCGGTGAAGTCGTGCAGGAAAAGTCGCAGGGCTTTAAATATATAAAATATAAAAACTCCTTAAATCTAAAAAAAATTTACTTACAGTCTGTGAGTCAGAACAGCCGGCATTGTAGTCTACTCTACCAGGATCAGGAGACAGTCCTCCATAAAATGGGCTGCACACATCTGAATATTTGGGTTGAAGTGTTCTGGAACAGTGTTGTAAATACAACTTAACCACTGATTTCTAGTCGTGTTCATTTTTGGAAGACCAAACAAAGTAGTTTCGCTTTCACAATGAAACAGCGTCACACACGGCGGCTACAGTGAGCAGAGGCGGGGGGATAAAGTGAGGAACGGTCGGAGGGCTAGAGTGAGCAGAGGCGGCGGATTCGATGAAGGAGCGTCCGGAGGGCTTGTGGCAACCACATGTGATGACCCCGGGCAGGACTCCGCTTCGTCCACGGTGAAAGCCGATCCGGTGATCCACAGCACTAAGTTGATGTATTTCTTCAGCGACCAGCACGGATCAGCTCCAGGCATGACGAAGCAGATATTGTCCTCTTTTCGAAGACCAAAGTAGTTTTGCTTTCACAACGAAACACACAGCGTCTTCACGACATGGCGGCAGCAACAATACTACAGCGAGAATAAAAGTTACGCCTTCTTTCTTTGCGTGAACATTTGGGCGGCGTTATGCAAATCTTCCCACATAGTGATGTAGACATGTGGGGGCGTGTTAGAACGAGGCAATTTAGGTAGGCGACTCTTAACTTTTATAAAGAATATTGAGAATTTGAGACTTTATTCTTTGCAACTTTACAGATCTTCTTTATGCACCAAGAGCTTGTAACACTCCAAAGAGAAAGCAAAACTTGAAATCGCA